TTTTTTTTTTTTTTTAAGAATTACTTTACTGGTAACAATGTCAACTATCATCCGAGCTTTCAGTGATTAGTAATCCTTTTGCTGGTGGAAGGTCTTGCCTTGATGTTGATGGCTGTGGACAGATCACAGTGGTGGTTGCTGAAGGCTAGGATGGCTGTGGCGATTTCTTAACACAAGACAACAATGAAGTTTGCCACATCAATTGACTCTTCCATGAATGATTTCTCTATATGTGATGCTGTTTAATAGTATTTTACCCACAGAATTTCATTCATAATTAGAGTCAAACCTCTAGCAGTCAAACACTGCTACTACTTTATCAACTAAGTTTATGTAGTATTCTAAATCCTTTGTTGTCATTTTAACAATATTTACAGTATCTTCATGGGGAGTAGAAACTGTTTATCCATAAAAATCAACTCCTCATCCATTAAAGTTGTATCATGAGATTGCAACAATTCAGTCCCATCTTCAGGCTCCACTTCTAATTCTAGTTGTCTTGCTGTTTCCACCACATCTGCAGTTACTTCCTCTACTGAAGTCTTGGAACTCTCAAAGTCATTGCTGAAGGTTGGAATCAGCCTCTTCCAAACTCCTGTTCATGTTGATATGTTGACCTCTTCCCATGAATCACAAATATTCTTAAGGACATCTAGAATGGTGAATCCTTTCCAGAAGGTTTTCAATTTATTTTGCCCGATTCATCAGAGGAACCACTATCTGAGGGATTGATAGCCTTACAAAACATATTTCTTAAATAAGACCTAAAAGTTGGAATTACTCCTTGGTCAGGCTGCAAAATGAGCACCATGTTAACAGCCATGAAAACAACATTAAGCCTGTTGTACATCTCTATCAGAGCTCTTGAGTGACCATGGGAATTGCAAATGAGCAGAAGTATTTTGAAAGCAATCTTACTCTGAGCAGATCTTAACAGTGGGCTTAAAATATTCAGTAAACTAAGGAGCCTGCATGGCTCAGTTGGTTGAGTGTCTGACTTTGGCTCAGGTCATGATCTTGTGGACTGTGAGTTCGAGCCCCGCATTGGGCTCTGTGTTGACAGCTCGGAGCCTGGAGTCAGCTTTGGATTCTATCTCTCTCTGCCCCTCCCAGCTTGTGCACACTCTGTGTCTCAAAAATGAATAAACATTAAAAAAA